TCTTTTTTCTTTTTTCTCTCTTTCTTTTTTGTCTCCTTTCTGTCTCCTTTCTGTCTCCTTTTCTTAATATCTTTTATCTCTTCTTTCTGTCTCCTCTCTCCTGTCTCCTTTCTGTCTCCTTTTTGTCTTTATTCTGTCTCTTTTCTGTCTCCTTTCTGTCTCTTCTCTGTCTCTATTCTATCTTTATTATATATCTTTAGTGTCTCCTTTCTGTCTCCTTTCTTTCTGTCTCCTTTCTGTCTCCTTTCTGTCTCCTTTCTGTCTCCTTTCTGTCTCCTTTCTATCTCTTCTCTATCTCTATATCTCTATACTGTCTCCTTTCTGTCTCCTTTCTTTCTGTCTCCTTTCTGTCTCTATATAAATTTTTATAATATAGATGGCTCCTAGCGGCAGCCGTGTGGATCCTTCAGCAGCAGCAATGGCTCGGCCAGTGGGGGCCCCCTCAAGGGGGCCCCCCCCCCCGCCCCCCGCGCAGAGCAGCTGCGTTGCTGTACCCTGTTTGTCCCCCCCGGGGGGCCCCCAGGAGACAGGGGCCCCCCGGCTGCAGCGAGATTTCTGTGATTTTGTTGCAGTAGGAAAGGGGGGGTTTGGCCGCGTGCTTAGAGCTAAACATAAACTAGATGGAGAAGTTTATGCTATTAAAATCATACAGGTTTGTTGCTGCTGCTGCTGCTGCTGCTGCTGCTGTTGCTATTGCTGCTGCTGATGGTGCTGCTGCTCATGGTGGTGCTGGTGGTGCTGCTGCTGCTGAGGGTGGTGCTGCTTGTTGTGGTGGTGGTGCTGCTGATGGTGCTGTTGCTGCTGATGGTGATGGTGCTGTTGCTGATGGTTGTGGTGGTGCTGCTGCTGTTTTGTTGCTGTCTCTGCTGTTGCTGCTGCTGCTGCTGCTGCTGCTTCTGCTGCTGCTGCTGCATTGGTTATCTGTTTGCTGCTGTAGCAGCAGAGTTGCACGAGCTGCTGCAGTATCTGCTGCTTTTCCTCTATCTCCCTCACTCTCCCCGCCACCGCCGCTGCTGCTGCTTCTGCTGCTGCTGCTTCTTCTTCATCTTCATCTGCTGCTGCTGCTGCTGCTGCTGCTGCTGCTGCTGCTGCAGTTTACAGTGGACGCGCGTCACCTGGAGAGCCGAACGCATCGTTTTTTGAGGGAGGTGCAGTGTCTGCGGCAGCTAACAAACAACCCGTATATAGTTCGATATTTTTCTTCGTGGCTAGAGACAAAGCTGCTGCCGCCGCAGCAGCAGGCTCAGGGGTGTGGGGGCCCGGCCAGGGCTCGTGCTGCTGCTGCTGCTGCTGCGGCGGCGGCGGCGGCAGCGGCTGCAGCAGCGGCCGCAGCAGCAGCAGCAGCGGCAGCAGCGCCAGGAAATAATAATGCTGCTGCTGCTTCTGCTGCTGCTGCTGCTGCTGCTGCTGCTGCTGCACAAAGAAAACATCCAAAGGATATTGCTTCTCCCCCTAGAGTAAGAGACAGAGAAAGAGACAGAGACAGAGACAGAGACAGAGACAGAGACAGAGAAGGAGACAGAGAAGAGGAGACACCGCAGCAGCAGTCTCTTCTTCTTTCTTGTGATACCCTGGAGGGGCCCCCAAGCGACATGCAGGGTGAGGGGGGCCCCCTGTTCTGTGCGTTGCGTCATGCTCCTCGTGGTGAGTCAGCAGCGAGAGAAGCTGCTGCTGCTGCTGCTGCTGCAGCAGCAGCAGCAGCAGCAGCAGCAGCAACAGAAAGCAACAGCTGTCAACGCGTACCCTCCAGCGATGGCTTCTGGTG